GAGCGCCACTTGGGAAGTACGAAAAAAAAAAGGCGCAAAAAGACAGAGTTCGGGGTTTTTTTGTGTTTTGTTTGACTGGGTTTTGTTTTTTTAATGCCTGCAGCTTCGCTTCCACCGTATCCCCAGTGCACAAGCCTCCCAGCCGGGAACCCCTAGGGAAAGCTCCCAGCAGCATCTCCCCAAGCACACGCATCTTCCTCTGCTAATGCTGGATCAGATCTATTTATGTGCTTTACTAATGAAGTGTGACACTCCCCCACCTAAGAGCAAAACACCCGTAGAAACGGAAGTGCACCACAATACACCTACTTCTTAGCAGCAGGCTGCCGTTGGAGAGACTCCCAGCTCCTCAGTTTATATGTACTCAAAGAATGTCAGGGGTTGGAAGAGAGCTCTAGAGACCATCTAGTCCAGCCCCCTGCCAAAGCAGGATCCCCTGGGGCAGCCACACAGGAACACATCCAGGTGGGTTTTGGAAGTCTCCAGACAAGAAGACTCCACAACCTCTCTGGGCAGCCTGTGCCAGTGCTCTGTCACCCTCACAGTAAAGAAGTTTCTCCTCATGTTGAGGGGGAACTTCCTATGTTCTAACTTAAACCCATTATTCCTTGTTCTATTGCTGGGCACCACTGAGAAGAGATTGTCCCCTTCGTCTTGACACCCACCCCTCAGATATTTCTATACGTTAATAAGGTCCCCTCTCAGCCGTCTCCTTTCAAGGCTAAACAGCCCCAGTTCTCTCAGTCTCTCTTCAAAGGAGAGATGTTCAAGTCCCTTAATCCATTGCAACCTATCATTGAGCAAAATTTAAGAGACATTTATATAACTTGGTTAAGCCTGAAGCACCCTAGAGAATACAGCTCGAAGTATTCTGAAGAAATTAAAGTCATCAGCCCAAAATCAGCTTGCAAAAATAAAGTCTGAAAATAGTTCCTCTGGATAACACTTTCAGAACCTATGGGTTTTGTTCAGTCATCAGTCATCAGACTGCAGACTTCGGGAAATTAAACATTAAAAGTCAAGTCACACTGGCTGTACAGGCTTAGGAGCAAAGAGATCCTACCTCCAGGATAACCTTGATAAATGGGTTGCAATTCTGATCCTTCCTTTACTTATTTTCCTTAAAACCTTCACTAAACATAAGGTCACCATTCTCAAGGCAAATGAAAATCAAACAACAGTATAGAAAACAAATTTTATTTATTGAATGAACAAAAGTCTAAAAGTCTCCCATTTTTGGTTAACAAAAGCAGCAACCTACAAAACCCCTGCATTCCATGACAAATCTTTTATGTCACAAAATTAACTTTGAGGAGGTATGAACATTTTGTACACAGAAAGTTACAACTGTTGAGATGTGTTTAGGCAACAACTGGATCAATTTCAAATTAGGGAAGGAAAAAGAAAAGAAAAACTTCACACAGACACCTGAAAAAGCTTGAATTGTTTGCTGGCTGAGAGGTATATAGTATCATCAGGGCTGCCAGCAGTTTTCGGCACTTGCATCCCTTTCACACAAAACGAAAAGAGCAGTGGAAAAATGATAGAGGTTTTCAGACTGAACAAGGAAAACAACTGCCAACAGAACGCGGTGTTCAGCTAGCTCATTTGGCTAATAGTAAATGCAGCTTTTTAATGCTCATTTTCACAAGCTTGTGTTAAGCAAATCTGTGCTCTGAAGAGACTCCAGGATAAGAAGGAGTTCAGCCACAGTACCACCAGAGCAAAAGCAATAAAGATGGTCTGTCCTCACACCTTCCTGCCACAGGCAATTCCTCTCAGTCTAAACCAGGCATCCAGCTAAGGGAAAGGAAACTGAGACCTGCTTGACAATATACGATTATCAGACTGATAGAAGTCTACCAGGAACCAAACGGAGAATGTACATTCACTTTGTAAATCCAACAAGGTTTTCTAACCTATGTGGTTTTTTTTCCTTTTCGCTGGATATGAACAGCCTTAATAAAATGGAGTGTTAAAAAGGAAGGCAATGTTTACTTTTATCCTTACACCATTCACAGAATAACCCTTTTTATAAAGTCATATCATACATTTTCATGCTTGTAAATACTAAGTGTTTTCAATAAAATCTGTTTATCACATTGACTAATTTAAATTGCTCCTTTGTTTTCACTGATCAGGACATAGTACAATTATTTCAAAAGAAATTACTGACTTTCCTGTCATTATTTACTTTTGATTGCGAAAGTACAATAATCTGTGCTTATCTATCAGTTTATGCATCAGCTCTCATCCACTGCAACCATATCATCATTTATTTAATAATTATGAAGCTGTGTCTTATACCGTAATTTCTATTCATATGTATTCTAGGACTAATAGATCCCTAATATGTCTTGATTAAAACTAACTTTAATGTATCAACTCTATTAGCTGAAGTTAATTTTAATCATTTCCATCATAATCATTGTAACTCTGATACCCACTGTTCCTCCTCTCACGAAGATTAGATTTCTTCCATGTAGATTCTTGATGAAAGCCAGCACTGAAAGATCGACCCAGTCGTCCATGTTGTTTCTTTGAGATATTGTCTTCACTCTCAGATTTGGAAATTCCTTGTCCTTGTGTTTGGGATTGTTTATTCTGTCTAACATTTCCAAATGGAAAGTTCCAAGGACCAAATCTTTGCCAGTTAAGTCTCTGGAAGGCAATGATGCAATGAAGATTTCCTCCAACCTAACCAAAGTAAAAAGACACTTGAAATTAAAATCTTGGTGGTAACAGAATTCTTAGGAAAAAAAAAAAAAATCAAAAAACCCAACAACATACACAGAAAACACCCACCACCAAACAAACAAACAAAACCACAACCAAATCATATCCACAAACAAACAACTCTGCTCAATCAATTTTTGTTTGCCAACTGCAATTACTGCCTTCTTTTGCATGTTTTTAAGTTACTCTGTTTATCTTCCATGGGCTAGTATAACTTATCTTTGGCTAGTCTTTTTTACTCTCCAGCCACTTTCACACAAATTATCTGTTCTGGTCCCTTCTCATCTTGCTGACACGGACTTCCACATTTGAAATTATCTCTTCAGTCTATTATTTCTCATAGATTTTCCACCTGCAAATGACAAATACATTCCCTGCCCATGTGATAAGCCCTATCTATAGGAAAGAAGATTGATGTATGGACAGTAAGTGTATTCTTTTGTTTGATCCTACTCGACTGTACTTCCTTTTCTGCTCGCATGTAGCTAGAAAGGCATGCTGCAAAAGGTTCCATCTGTAATTTGTAAAGTATTTCTATTCTTGCTGCAGCTAGATTTTTAGCCAACAAGGTTAAATGTTGTGACCTGATATATTGTATATGCAGGTATCCTGGTTCATCCCAACATACACCAGGCTACTGTGTCTTGTTCTGCAAGTAAATATAAATGACTGGTATGTAAGTACCCACATTTGACTTTTGTGTTCCAACATGTCATAACAAATTCCTTTCAGAGAAGTTAACTCACACAGCTAAGGTATGAATAAGTCTGTGAAAAAATCTACCATGAATTTCCTCCCACCTTAATAAGTTCACCTTACCTTCTTTGTTTTTCGATGCTGTAATCCTCTCTCTAGGTGTCGAATATCTAGATATTCTGGATTTTGGGTGTTTAGGTCAGTGACAATATCTGCCCACCTACAGAGTAAGATTATTACTACTCAGCTGACATTTATGAAACCTCAGCACCGCTAAGACTCAAGTACACATGCATGCAAATGCAGACCTGCAGGTTTAAATAGTCTTATCAGCAATTTAAAGATAAATGAACATGTAAAGTTATAAAAGCCTCAGCACTAGAGACATCAACCTAGATATAAAAGCATCACTTTTAACATAGCACTCAGTGTTCTTGGGAAACACCTTCCAAAACAAGTAAGAGCACCATGAGTCATTAATTGCATTGTTTACCCTTACCAGTTCATCAGCTTGTGAAAGGAAGTAGCACAACGGGGTTTCAGCAAGGAGAAATTTAATCCCCTCTTACCCTTTTATATTGTTTTGTTCCAACCCACAAAATCTGGTTTTACCAGACAGCTCTCACTATAACTCACTCCATCATTTTTATTCAATTCCCATCTGCAATAAACTCTCAATTCAGTCATTCCCATTCACTCAGCTCTTCACTGTTACACAGAGCAACTGAAACAAATATTCCCATATTCCAGACATCTTTAAGCCTACACATCACCTTTTCATTTCTGTCAGTGTCTAATTACCTGCTTCTCCCTACCACCACTCCCCCAAGTTCAGAAAATCCATTTCTACCCCAACTTTGCCCTCCTACTTTAAGGAAAAAGCTCTGCTAGCTCAGGACTACAGCAGGAGGAAGAATGTCCCCGCAACCAAAAATAATACCACAAAGGTTTGTATTCTATATTCAGAAACCTCTTCCTGTGCTGTTTATAGCTTGTATGTAGCAACAACAATCACGTGCATTAGACCAAAATATCCAGCTATTTACAGTTATTGACATAGTCACATCACTGACAAAACAAAGGCATCTGAGTTTTAGGTACTGGGTTGGATCTGACTGGCTATGAAACAAACAGATAAGCACTTTCAAATGACTGTTCAAAATATTTAGAGAATAAAAAAGATAAAACAAAGCAGAAGTGTGATTTTTCTTAATTTTTTTTCACAGTTCTTCTCCTAATGCATTAGGAAAAAATGTAATTAACTCAGGGGGTGTCAGAGAGCAAGGAATTGGTTTCTTGGGAAATACTACTCTTGCACAGTTTCAGAAATTAATATTAAGCATTATGAACTAGTATAACAAGTAAAGCGAAGAAAGCTGTTCTATTCATTTATCATGACAAATCTAACTTATCAGTGAAATTTCTACGTAGCACCCTCTAGCTCTTCTAGTCTGTACATCTCCTTAGACATCAACCTACGTATAAGCTGGACCTCATCACAAATAACAGAGTACAGGCGGTACCCGCTCCTGAGCTAGGAGATCGTGGCGGCAGCGCAATATCCTGTATGCACCACAGACACAGCCTGTGTACGTCCTCAACTGTGACATCAACTCCTCCAAGGCTCGTACAGCCTCTATGTCGCGACTGGCATGATCGCAGATAGCTGAGGTGTCCGTTCTTCCTGACTCATGTCAGCTGTTTCACTCTCAAACAAAAGAAATGGGCTTTTGGCCTTCAGCAGCCCACACATGTCCTGCCATGTGATAAAAACTGCAGAGCCAGTCCTGAGGTCAAAAAAACTTTCTCACTAAAGCCCTCGTTTCTCTTAGAACTATAGTATATTCATTCAAAAGAACTACAAGTTTGCTTGGTGACCCTTAGTGGAGAAATACAAATTGATTGAAAGACAACACATAAGCTTATATTCTTACCAAGTAACGTACCTCTTACAGTGTATTGTTGGATGTTTTCTGCTCGGCTCTCCAATCAAGATCCAATATTCTACTTCTTGCTGTAAGACACGACCTCTGTTCAATAGAAGATACAATCCTAGTGAGATTTATTGTGCATACTAAAAAGAAAAAGAGAGATTAACATTCTATTGTTCTTTTAATCTAACACTTAAAATTGTTTCCTCAGCCAAACTAAAAACCAGGTTCTGTGCTATAAATAGTGCTTGCAACTGAATACAGGGAAAACTTTCTGTTTCACAGGGCCTGAAAGCAAGATAGAAACTTTTGGTTATCGTTTGAGAAAAAGACAGATCCTCATAAAAATCAGTGTTATTTGGATGAAAGGCAGTCTAGTGTAAGATCCAAACATAAATATATATGTAACAATGGAAATAAGAGTTGTGGAAAGCCACACAAAGGTGGCATCCTACCTGTGATGTCTAACAAGAGTCACAAAAGAGCCCCTTCCACTATTTTTTAACTATAGAAAAACAACCAGTAATTTCAGCTGCTTTGTCCTAAGCAGCCAATACCATGTATTAAAAAGTAACCCCCTCAAGAGATACTTGTTGTTAAGTTTGTGAGCAACTTCTCAGGGAAAATTTGTGATGGGCATCAGGGCAGACTGAAGAGATTCAGAGGACTGGTTTTTGACTTCCTGTGTATAATTATCCCATGAAAAACCACTTCAGTTTCAACTGTGACAAAACCTAGATTTTTCTACCTGGGGTATTATGGCCTTACAGCTTACAATAACTTGTTTACTTACAAAAAAAAAGCGTGTAAAACAACAACGTATGCCATCATTGCACAGATGGGAAACCAAGACACAGGATAGATTCACTTACCTAAAATCACACTTGAGGTCTGTGGTTGAACTGGGAACTGAACCCAGGTCTCCCGAGTCCAAATCCAGCAACCTAAGATCATACAGGAAGTCTGTGGGTGACCTAAGAACCATCTCCTAAGCTCAGTCTAGCAGCCTTATCTAACCACTTCTTTTGGAATGTAAGGATTTCTTAGCTTGATTTTTAAAGAATACCTTTCTTTTGCAAACAAAATGCAAAAAAAAACAGGTAAGCAAGAACTGCTGCAGAATCTATTGATAGTGCTTTGGGAACCTAAACATATTCCCTAGTAAGGTTTTAGAAGGTATGAAAAGAACAGGATGCTCTTCTCATCTGACCTCCAGCCTGAAATAAGGCAAAAGCTCCTTTAACTCATTAGTTTAAGTTACATTGTCACAAGACATCTGTTGTTAGGAAGAAAATCTACTATTGATTTTAAAATGACATCACAAGTGACTGAGAATCCATTTCAGCCACCAGTAAAGGATTGAAATCGTAGTTCTCACTCATTACTAAACAGAATCAATTCAAACTAGACATAAGGCATGTTAAGTTTCCACACGCTGGACCATATTATTTCTCAAGCTGCATTTGTGATCTAGTAAATAACTATTAATTTATTTATTTAACTTTGCTCTTGCAGTGCAGATTCTTAGTAACTGATCACGTAAATAAACTATTAACCTTTTGGTAAACAGACTGATGTGGTGGACTTGAATTTGGGTCATATTTTCCACACTCACCACTCACATGGCATGTCACTGAATGCAGTCTTAAAAAAACCCTTCTGTATTCTTTTGTTCATATACTAGAAGCTTTCATTAACCTTATAGTCAGACAAACTAGATTAAGGTGATTATTCTTTATTACCTCCAAATAATTAACATTTTGAACTTTAAATGTGGAGCTAGCATTCTCCATTCCCTGATGTGACTACACCTTCAACAGTGCCAAAAGCAGACTGCTTGGTACACAAAGTGCAAGACTGAGGCTCAGCTTACACCAGTGACCTACCTTTTCATTGTTTAGCATTTCCCACAACTCATATTTGCTAATTTTGTCAAGGAGTGTCTTTTTACACTCAAAAATACTAAAAAATACTAACCAACAGCTGAACCTTGAGAAACTCCAATACAAAACTCCAATACATACTGTGTTTGAAAGAGGAAAACCGTTAATTTCATTCTGTGAATAAGGCAAAACAAACTACTCTCAACATAACGTACAGCATAAAAAATGCCTTACAAAAGCTAAAATAAATTGCCTCAGGGTCATTGTATTTTTCAAACTTAAAATCTGTATTTTTGATGCGAGACCATCAAAATGCAGTATGAATGTCAACTGCTATTATCTTTTAAGGCCTGTATTTGACCAAAAACCTCTATCAACTATTCCATTATTTTATTCTCAGTAATGCCACCCTGACAAATCTGAAATTATTCAGGTAATTGTATTTTTATTCTAAAACAATTGGCATATTCAGTTTCTCCTGGTCTCTGGGAACAGCATTCCAAGCCGTGTTTGGAAAAGCCAAACATGCTGTAATAGTCCAGAGATATCTTTTAGCTTCTTTATGCTCACCAATTCTTGGTAACAAATTATTCAGGTATCTTTACTCTTCTAAGCCTTACACTCCAGTAGCTGCAGTTTATCATCATTATTAGTGAACACTACACATCCCCTGTTCTCACCATACACAAACACTGGTTTCTGTTAAGCGCAGATTTTATTGCGTCCACTTCATAATGGATTATTATCACTATAGGACTTCTGCTTCTGGTTTATAATCCCACCACATGCACACACTTACTTCTTTTGTTTCCTTCCCAAGTTCTCTGGGAACAGAAGCCCCCCATAACTAGCTGGCTTTTTGTTGTCTTTCCTTAAAAACACACGTGGCTCTTTTTCAGCCCATATGGTTTATTTTTTAGACTGGTCACTTTCACGTGCCCTTCATGTAAATAACTACCCTCTCTATATCTGGCTAAATGTCTTTAAACAATTTCTTAGAACCATTCACAGTTTACTGTTTAACTTCTCTCAGTCTAGTCTGCTTAGTTGTGTTTAATTTTAAGTCAATCCTTTCAAATCACTTGGTAGCATTTTGCTAGTTCAGACATAAACGCTTTTACAACATACACTGAAATGTTGTTCAGGGAGAAAAACAGTATCAATTTGCATTATTTTTTTCTGTACGTCACCTCCATTAAACTAAGCATAAACACACGGTCTTACCTATAGGCTTTACTGGCTTTTACTGGGGTTGCTTCAAATCCAATTGGGCAAAAGTAATGGTTTTGGCAATGGTAGATGTAGGCCATTGATTCATCTTTCAGTCCACGTGTTAGCTTTGCAAGGGCCCCTGCAGCTACAAAGAAACACCAAGTTACAGTCCAGAGTGCTCTGGATCCTGCATAACACGTTCAGCAAAAAAAAAAAAATCTATTTGATAACATAAAACAGTTACACTGCTTTTTAAATTAGAGGACATGACCTGACAGCTATGGACAAAATACAGTTTTCTTTTCAAACTTCTTAGTATTTAATTTCCTGCCTGGTACAAAAAAAAAAACCAAAAACAACATCTGCCACACAGCCTGTACTAGAGAAATGCAATATAAAGTACATGCTGTATTTAGATCAAAGTCTTGTTAAAAATTACTTGTTCTGAAAGAAAAAAAGGGGGAAAAAAAGAGGCAAAAAGCATCTCTTAACCTAGGAAATATACACTGCAACACAATGCAGTCCCACTGCCCCAAGTCAGAGGCAACACACATCCATGATATTACTGAACCCCTGCAAGCTTTCAAACTTGGTTTTGGTATCATGAGCTTCTTGGGGCTTCCTAATCTCAGGAACACATTCCACATTTGGACATACAGTATTTTTTAATGTGACTGCAGTGCTCAGTTTCAGGAAAAGACTAGAAAGGCACTGAAACATTGCAGAATTCTCAAATGGGACATCAAGAACAACAACAAAAAACAACACCACTTTATTAATGTCCCTAAAAACATTTCAACACGGTTTTATCATTTTAAAGAACCTTTCAGTGAGAAGATAATTACCCAGACTATATCAAAGGCTAATGAACTGTGTATGAAACTAGAATTATTCTTTAGGCAACATACTTAAAAGCAGACATGAAAATGCAGCTTCATAAGCTAACTGAGAATAATCACCTAACTTTTGGAAACAGCTGTTAGCTAAAGGCAGGAAGAACGGATGAGGTCACTAACTTTAAAATTCCATTTTTTAAAAGTATAAAACATTCAAGACATTAATACTTTTTGTGCTCTACATTCTCAATTTTTATACAGCACAGATTTCTAAAGCTCTGAAATAAAAATACATTGCTCTGCTGGTATATTACAGTAAACACATCTTCGAGGACACCAACCCAGAATTGAAAGTGTGGTGTGCTCATGGATACCTTAAAATTCCAGTTCTGTGATAGCATAATATATAGCACAGAATATACTTTATTAAAATAGAAGTACAAATGAAAGTTTTAGCAAAGTAAGAAAAAAAGTGAAGTCAGGCAACTTGGAGCTACTTGGTAGCTTATCTCAAACTGAAAGTACTACTTACAGAATTTGTCCTGTCAAATGCTACACATTGCAGGATTTTTCAGTTTATGTACTGTCAGATGAATGCTTTAGGATTAGCTACGTACCAGTTTCTCCAGCTGTCTTGTTCTTCCCGTGAGGTTTATACAGAACATAGGAGCATCCCTTGATATGGAAGTGATCATTTATTTGCCTAAACCATCTGAAACAATAAGCTTAAAGATTGTAGTAACTTAAGAGTTAATAAAAGCAATTTTCTTTCTTTCTACCATTCCTCTGTTTGACAGTTTAGAAAAAATGGTCCTGGTGTGTTACTAAGTACCTACCACACTAGTATATGGGTTGTAGATGAACATGGTACCCTAATACAAACGAAACTGAACATATCCTAGAGAAAGAAATGAATACTCAAAGCTTCTTCCTTTATTTTGCTTTTTCAGACCTGACATAGACCCATAATAATGGATGCGAAATGTCTGTTCTACTGCATTCAGTCCAATCACCTCTAACTTTCAGTTACTCAGTCTTTACAAAGACACTCCAGTTCGGAAGTGCCAAGATTCAACCACAATTTGTAAGCTACACAAAAGGAATTTTATTCTAAGACACCAGAAGGGTGGATCCTTCAAGTGAGACTTTTTGCAGATTATGTTGGTCTTCTGACAAATTAGCTTCACAATGCCCAAGTGTTACAGGAGCCCCTACTGCAACTCCTCACAGCAGCAGAAGTGAGGACAGGTCTGTAAAGATTTGTTTCTCAGATATTCACTTTTCCTTATTAGAACACTCAGATTCACATCTCTGAAGATAATACCTCAAATATAAAGCTACACTGGGTGATGGTGTTGCCTTTCAGCTTGTCTTTTTTCCAGTCTGCCAAGAACATTTTATTAGCTTGGTCTGTAAGGGTTGCTACACCTTGACACACTCCTAAAAAGATACAAAAATCTGGATCCAAGTCTCCTAAGCCAGAAGTTGAAGTTCTGCATGACACTCCTCAACAATCTAGCTGGTATATCACCATTAAAGAACAGACTGGTGCCACGTTTTCAAATCCAGCACCCACGTTCTGTGCCAAACCCTACATACTGCCTTCAAAAAATATTAACTACATCAAATGCAACTCATGAAATGGGAAAGGACACTGTAAAAGTTTTAAATCTCACAGAAGAGCAACCCACCAAAGCCCTGTTAAGATATTCAATACTTAAGTAGAGTATGCTCCTGGCCCTATTTAATCCTAAAATTTCTTATGAGTTTAATACAAGGAAAAGAAAGACAAAGATTTTGGAGACAATTCTTCAAGATTTGAAATAGCAAAGCAGAAGCAAAACAGAATGCGAAAGTTCACGTGTTCTGAGGCTCCAGCCCCATCTTTCCCCCTGTCCTCCTCCTCCTGAACAGCTCCAATGCAGCAAAAGTGCAGCACTCACCATCTCATTCTCAATTCTTACATAAAGCTACTAGTATATCAATTGCCTTTTTCAGGTTATTTCAGTAACATTAACAAGCATTTAATATGCATTTTCAGAACAAGGAAAATGAGAGTAAAGAAAAGAATTCCTCATCAAGAGACTGGATTTGTCAGAGTATTAATACAACCATTACACAAACTAAATGAATAATCAAATAGAATTTTTTGGGTTTGTGTAGCAAAACCGCACTATACAAAATGGCTAGTGCCAAAAAATCTTTGAAAAGTTTCCTTGGGAACTGTCAAGAGTACCCAGGTATGCCTCATTATTCTAAAACTCAAGAGGACCGACTTGTGTCAGCCAGATTTCTTTTTAAAAAAATAAATGTACTACTGTATTTTTTTATTCTATCTCTTAGTTTTACATTAGTTTTCCACACATTAACAATTTAGCTCTAACAAAAGAACCAAACGTACCTCATTAAAGTTGTATTTCCAGTGAAAGGACCAAACCTAATCTCCTCAAACGGGGGTTGAAAGCCCAGTATATGCAAAGCTTCTTCTTGAGTAATGGGTGGCAAACTGAAAAAAAAACCCAAAACCCACAACACACACAAAAAAGTATTGTTTAATAAAGTATTTAGCAACAGATTTTAGACTCTCTAGAGGGAAAGCAGTCTTTCTCTGACTTACCTTCCAGCTCCCAGTGTACTATATAAGAAATTCCAGCAGGACACTAAGGACGAAATTCCACAGGAAGTCTTATATTGAGGTCGGCTAACACAATACCTAAACCAAACAAAAACCCACAGTAGTAAGTTACTTGAACAAATTTTCTGTGTGCCATGTCACTGAAGTTTTACATTACCTGTTTTTATGTCACCTGTAGTAAAAAAGTGCATTCTTCATAAAAACAAACATGGAGCTAATGTGTTGATCAATTTCTTTAAGCTTGTCAGATACCACTACCCTATTTCATAAAAATCTGTCAAATTTCTAAAAGCCCCATGGGAGTTCTGCACAAATGATCCTGCAGGAAAAAAATTATTCTGTGCTAATTTAATGTACAGTTTGATCCAGTCTCTTCTAATCCGTGAACTTGTAGTAAATTGCATCTCCACCAATTCACTAATGAATGTCATTGTGGGTAGAATCCCTAGAATCCCTAGGCTAACTCTAATGTTCTGATGTCATACATACACAATAAGAACCACACAGATTCATTAAACCACGTGAACTATATTCATACGATACAGATTGTATGGAACTGATAGATTCTGATCAAGTATTTCCCAGTAAAAATAAAAATCAGGAGTAAGACATATCACTACTATGGTTACTTCTTGCCTAACCATGCTAATGAATGTGTTTGGGGTTGGTTTTTTTTAGCAGTGAATTCCCACATAATTTTTTTTCTTAGTGAAAATATTTAGGAAGAAAAATGTTTTTAGAGATTCAACAGACAGGAGAGAAGCTCTCATTCTTCTTGTAGAAAATAAGAGATTTTGTGTGTTCATGCTTAACATATCCTTGTAACTACTACAAAAAAAGAAGTATGAAGACATTAAGAAGTCTGAAATCAGATAACCAGCAACAGCGTTTACCAACAAACTGCATGGGGATAATCTTAAATACATTTCATTAACACTACCATCTCCGGAGGTCCAACACTTTCCTCTCCTTCACATCTTCAAGAGCAGAACGCTGAGGACACTCCCTGTACTGTTTGCTTTTTTTGTCTACAGATTTTTTTTTTGTCACTTGTTTCTTCATGTTGCCTGCAAAACAGATTTCAGAAATTAATGAATGCCAAGTTTACCTTTCATATCTTTCTTCTTAAATATTTTTAGCAATAGCATACACCTTAAACAGAGACTATGGTTGTGTTAGTAAGTGCAAACTGGGATTAAACATTAATTGAAAGAAAAAGTTCAAGTCTATAATCAAGATTGTCAACAGGTTTGAAACAGTGCCAATAGCTCCATAAACAACATCGTGTTTTTCTGAACAGAATTAATGATGACCTGCTCAACTGCGTAGAGAGAGCAGTCAATCTGATTATTCTAATGCGTTAAATCAGCCATCCCAGAAATAGCCTCTCAGACCAACATGGACTTCCCATCTCCTAACATTAATTGCACAGGGAAATTTAACGAAACGTTTTTTTTTTCATGGGCAAGCTCTGCAACCAGCTACACCTTCTGATGAAGACTTACATGCATATCCAGCTGGAATAACATACTCTCAAGGTCTTTCCTTTTTTTTGTAATCCACTGAGGCGGGAGAACATAAAGAGTTGGGCCACATGGTAGAGCAGGAATATTTCTGTCCTATTTTGAAGGCACCATATCCAAATTAAATACACTACATGTATTTTAGCAAAAATTACTATCCTGTAAGATATCAGGTTTTTTCTTATTTTTTATTAAGCATGCTACATATACACAAGAAAAGGCTATGGCAACTTGCCAAACATATATTTAAGTTTCCTACTAAGGTAGAGAAGGCAATAATTTGACTAGTGAGGCAAGCCAGTAAGAAAAAATATCTACAGCCCGCTCTAGATGAGCAAAAGGATTACAGGACAAAGAAAACCAAGTGTGTATTCAAGTGCTTGATTCACAGTTGCAATCTGTGACTAGGTAGAGAAAGAACATAGGATGCAGTAAAGAAGCCAGTTCTAAAGAAACGGGCTCCCTAACACTGTATACATAGAGCAAATCAAAATAAATACAAATGAGTTACAGAAATCAACTGCTTTTCTAGGTAATGATTTCCTTTACTTCTTCTAATAAACCATGTCTTTAATTTCAAAATACACCTCTGAAGTACCTTGAAACATTTCTGCAAGTGGCAAACCTGTACTTAACAGGCAAAAGCAATCACTACACAATGCACTAGGTCCTGCAAAAAGAACAAAACACCCCAAAAACTCAAGAGGAAAAAAAAAACAACACAAATTCAAACCAGAAGCCACCTCAAACAATACTCAAAAATCTCCCCACAGTTAAGCAGAATCTAGTCTTGGTTTAGAGCCACATCCCCAGGCAGCTACACCTGACTTTCATTCCTCCTGTCTCACTCTCTTCTTTCCTGACAAACAGGTTGTTTGAAATGATGTACAGGCTCTTCTGTAGCACTTCCTCAAGAGATGCACATGCTGACCAACCCCCTTCACAAACACCCTGTAAACGTGAAGCCTTTTCCAATCACAACATCAAACCTCCACCATCTCACCTCCTTTGTTCTTCAGATTTGTAGTCACTCCATTGAACTCTGATTTGTCGATTTCCCATGCCAGTGGAAGCTTTCCAAGATCACCAGGCAAGCTTTCCAAGTTAGCGTCTTCCCTGTAGATTACCTTTGAATCGAGTAAGCTGGGTGTGTTATTTCCAACGTTTAAGGCAGCACTGCCTGACAGGCAGGCACTAACTGAAGCACTTGGACTTTTACAAATAGATGTCACTCTGTTTAAAAAAGCATAGTCTGAGCAGATGGTATAAAATTTCTCTCGCGTGTGAGTCACAGGACATCCCCATGGATAATGCCCATCTCTTCTAGACACCAGGGATGCAGTGGAGGCATCTGACATGCAGTATGGCTTCACGGGATCGTGAAGAGAAGCTTCTGGGGATTCTTTCCCAGGTTTGTTTTCAGTGTTTCCATTACTTCCAGAACCATTCTCCTTTTCATCTTCTGAAATGTTAGGCATTGAATGATACTGAACGAGTACTGTACAGCTAAGAATATTTTTTCTTTATGTTTTAATTACAACAGAGTTTGCATCATTGCCTCCATTTCCTCTGCAAGGTATCAACGAGGTACCTGAAATAAAATGAGAAGTTGGTATAGGTATCTCAACCAACACAAAATACAGGCAAAGCTTATCTTTGAACTCATATCCAATAAAAGCTGAAATACCCTTCAAGATGCATCATGACATTCAGTGTCTTCTCCTAAGCATCTCCTGAATTCCACAAACACCACTTTTTATTATTTGTGAGGTGCCAACAGCATACAACACAGTGATGCCATGATGAAGACATCTATTGCAATTACACTTGTAATTCAGCACAACTAAGAGACTAAAAATTTACAAAAATGAAAAGCTTCCTACTTCTATGTAGTTGTAGTCAATCATGTCTATCCTTACAATCGTAATACCTTTCATATATGAAGTAGAAAAAGATAAAATCACAGAAACAGCAACTTAAGGTCACTTAATTCTAAAGAATCTTGCACACTTTTGCTGCAAACGAAGTTCAAGCTTGTAAACTGATAACACTACCCTCAATCTGTTTCATGCCTTTCCTCACATGGCTCTTAAGGGTTCCCTTTTATTTTTATTCACCTCCTAGTCTTCTACACGGGAGAAAGAAAAGCAGGCTTTGTTTACGGTAGCTAAGAAATACCAAAAAACAGATTTAGGAGGCTGGCTTGCTTGCTTTTAACGATTTTTACTTTTTTTTTCAAAAAGCAAACTGACAGTATGTGTTATCTACCCTGTCAGCAGTTTGCGCGTCTGCAAACTGCCGCAGATGGGAAACCTGGCACGGAGGAGTTTCGCTCCAGAGCAGATTCCTGCTACACCGACTTCTGGTCACGGAACCGACCCAAGAGCGCGCCAGCCTCCCTCTGCCAGGAAGCGAAGGTCTTGCAGCCCAGCACAGGCAGAGATCCCGGTGGCAAGGAGATCCCAGAACTCATGCACGTACTGAGCCGCTGCCCACAACGAACGCTGCCAAGCGGGGCCCAGTCCCGGCGGGATCCTCTCTCACCGGC